ACCTAAGGCACCTCAAGGTAGGGTCCAGATAAGAACTCCAGTCCTGAATGCCTTAGTGATGGTTAGTTAGGGCCAGCCAGGAAATAAGTAGAACGTGATAATGACCATAATAATAATGAAGAAATCTTCCAATGCCTAATACTGATGTCTTATTTCTAAATTTACAAAGCATTTTTTAGGATGATGTATTTAAAATTTTATACATTTAAATTTCAAAATTTACAGCTTAAAATTTACAAATACACCCTGAGAGGGCAGGAATTGTGATTTCACTTTACCAGTGAGGCTCAGAGAGGTCAGGAGCCTACCCAAGACCCCAAATTCCAGAGCTGTGAGACCCGAAAGCATTGAGAAAGACTCCCAGCCCAGTCATCTTTCCTCCATACCAGGGACTGAACTTGTTCTAGAATGTTTCCCAAATGTCAAGGTCAAAGGTTTGATGTAATTGGTCTTCCTTTAGGAGGGAAAGAGAGCAGTGGGGAAGCACTACCTTCCAACATGGGGCCAGGAGACATCCAGGAGGCCCACGGCCCACACCCGCAGGGCAGCCACTTATAGGGGCAGCCACGCACCTTTTCCCACAGCACTTCCAGATGTGGACATACCTCCTGGAGGCCAGAGTGGGGACATGGCAGGCAAGGAGTTTAGTCTATACCATAAGCTGCAGCAGAGCCCAATGCCCCACAATACCAGTTATGCTTCAAAAAAGCAGTTGTTTGCTGCATAAACACCTCAAAACATCACCAAGCTATGCCCCTCTCTCATCAGATGACCTGTAAACTGCTTTGACTTAGGAAATTACAGCAGGCACTGGTGCCAGTCTGGTCACTTTTTCTTGGTGCCAGTGAGAAAGTGAGTTTGTCCTTCCTGAGCGGCCTGCTGGGGTTAATGGTCTGAGGTCGGAGTTTGTGATAACCTAACACATGGACATCAGGCCATTTCAAATGAATGGGGAGAATCGCTTGTGATGATTCTCACTGCTGTGGCACATGGACTGCAAAACATTCTGCTTTTGTTCTTCTGAGAAGCAAAGGAGAAAAAAACTAAGGAAGACAGTTTGAGATGGCTGCAGAGTACTCCCTCAGAAAAGGTTGATGTCAAGACCAAGAGGAAGCCATGTGTCCAGTTCAGCATCTCAGATACAGGAAAACCACCGTCAAATATTTGTGGCATTCCCTCGGTTTCCTCCAACATTTCTTAGACATCATCCAGGAAATTCTACGTGAGATATCTGCCTCTCTTAGGTTGCATCTGCCCACAGATGCTCTGGCCTTCGTCAATAGGTTTCACCTCTGTCCTACAAATTATTAGCCTTGGAGTCATCAGAAGCAGCCCTAGCTCACCACAGGTTATGTGGATCCCAGTGTCACCCAGTATCTCTGGACTTATTCCCTAAACGATGGCATAATTCCATTTATTTTTCAGTTTCAGAGGACTCAATAACAACTTTGTCCTCTTTTGTATTTTTAGAAACTATATAAAAATATATGTGTTGGAGGGTGAGTGCCCATGCTCCACTCTTCCAAGGGAAATGAGTTTTACCTAGAGATGCAGCGCTCCTCCCTTGCTACATGCCATCTGTGACTTTTAGCTGCTCCTGCCCAGCCAACTTTTAAAATGGATTATAAATCTCTTGAGGGAAGAGCCTCCATCTTAACCTGTCTGCATCCCCAGAGCTTATCCAGGTGGTAAATGTCACATTCATCACCGCCATTTCTACCTCCTCCATGCCCAAGTCCCCCACCTCCATCGCCACCACCTAAATTCTACCCCCTTTCTTCTCGCTCTCCCACACCCCCAGGAGAGGTGGAAACTCAGTCTCTCTTGCACTTAGTTTTCAGCAAGATTATCTCATCTGTTAGGTGAGAAGCCCATTATGGGCAGGCTGAGTCTTGCCTTGGAACAAACCCGAGAGCTTTGCCTAAACAGAACAGGCTTCCATCCAGGTCTGTCCCCAGTCAAATGAATGTAAAACACAAGGCGTTTTCTCCACTTTGCAGCACTTGCCTACTACACTAAATAGAACGGCATTCTCTTCTCAGTGAAAACTCTACCCTGACCAGTGAGCCAGGGGACTGGTTTCAGTGAATGGTATGAGGCCCGGTCCTTGACTCAGCACTTCCCAAACCAAGCTGTAGTTGTTGGTCCTTCCTAGCACAGCCACCCCTTCCAACAAGTCGGCACTGTGACTCTTCCTCCTTGACACCCTACTGAACAAAGCCCTTTGCTGTCTTGCTTCCTTTCTGCCAAATGAATCCCTCAGCTTGCTTTTTTTTATACCTCTTTGCCCCTTTGCTGCCATGAATTGCGGGTGCCCCCCCTCCCAGACCCAAACCTATGGCCCTAGGGCGGAACCCAGCCCTGGGTTCCCCTGGTCATTAGAGAGCGCTCTGCTGCCACCCACAGTATGTTCCAAGATGACAGAAAATGAGGCCCTGGGACACCTGCCTCCCCACGAAGTTACTAGAAGCTTTACTTGGATCATATTTAAAACTTTCGCACTTGTTGAAGGAAATAGTACTAAATACTATTAAATAATGATATTAAATAATGATAGTAATACTTTCCTGTACCAACAACGATATAGCAATACTAAAGCACTAAGTCATACTATAGTTGAAGGGAAAAAAGTAATAAAGGAAAATTAGTAGTAAGGTTTGTGGGGCTGGCACTAATTTTAACCATTAACAACATTTTTCCTGCTTTCAGATACTTTGTTTTACACACAACACTTTTCCATAGTTCATACACATATTCAACTGTGATTTTAAAAATAAGGATATTTTAAATTGCTGGTATAGCAAGGACGTAACTGGGATTTTGGAGCTATAGCTTTAAGATGATTTTTAAAAGATGCAAAACTATTCTAACATATTTACATTAATGTTGTATTTTAATTCAGTTGTTACCAGCCATGATTCTTGGCTGCAAGTGACAGAAACTTGCAACATGCAGCATGTGTAACATGGGAACATTTGTTCAGAGTAACAGGAAAGAGTTGAGTAGCTGAGCTCTGGGGGTGGGGAGGAGGGGCATAGCTGGGCCTCAGGGAGAACAGAACCAGGGGGTTTGAGCCCATAGTTTTCTGCTTTACCTTAGACTGTCTGTGAATGTCAGATTTATCCGCTCACCTTCACATGGGCTTTCTCCAGGTTGCTGAGAGGCATGGCTACAGACTTTTAGAGTTTTAATTTCTGATGAATTCTTCTCCTGAAGAACAAAGAATAGCATCCCCTTCTCTCTCTCTCCCTCTCTCCCTCTCTCCCTCTCGCTCTCCCTCTCTCCCCTGAGGAGCCATCTCATTAGCTCACCTCAGGTCTTGGACCATTTTGGCCAGAGGTGTGGGACACTATGGTTGGCCTAGCTTGAACCATCTTACTCATCTTCTCCAGCACCTTCAGAATATCATGTGAAACATGGCCACTCCCACGTTTTGGGAGAGGGAGGTAAATGCAGGATAGTTTTAAACAAGAGAACACAGGCCAGAGATTCAGTACTATGGCATGTGCTCGCACTGTAGGACGTCTCCAAACCTGGACCTCTTGGTTAGCACACAACTGGACAGGTGACAGGGTAGGCAGCAGATGGTGGCTGTTGTGCGCCTTGGCAAGCTGACTAGTAGCAAGAACCCACTTTCTAGGTAGTTGTATTTTAATCCAGGTATTACCTGGATTCATCTTTTCTATCAGTTTCCAATTCAAGTGGCTTCCGTCATGGCATATTATCTTATTTTTTATTTTACTCAGTTATTCACCATATAGTTGTTGAGTACCTGTTGTGCATCTGACAGCCTGCTTCATGTGGAAGATACAAAAATGAGAACAGCTTCTGCCATAAATAGAGTCTAGTCTAGTGGGAAAGGCAGCCGTGTAAACCTATAATTTCCAGTGGGTGTGACAAGAACTACGATCGGGTATGAATTCATTGTCTGGTGTGAGATGTGGAGTCAGGATGTCAGGATGAAATGTCATATATAACTCTCTCAGGTGATCGGAATTCACATGCTTCCTCTTCCATGGGCTTCCTCCTCTTCAACATCAGGCTGGTTCCTCAGGAGCCAATGGAATCCATGTGCATGGTACATTATCATCTGCCTGTCGCTAACTCTCATCCTCTTTAAACCTCAGGAACATCAGCCTAGACACATAAGTAAAGTGTATATTAGTGGCCTCATTTTATACTAAAGAAATGGTGATTCCAGCACTTTGACTTTACTTGTCATGATTCCACATCCTGTGTGCAAAGCCATTGGCCTTCAACCCATGTGTTAGGGTGCTGTTCCAAAGCCAGTATGCTTCCACTGTCTTCCACTGGTCTGTTCTCCAGAAAAAGGGACCTAATCCTTGTCTGCCCCCAGGAATATGCTGAAGGACTCAGACCTGGGTTCATCATCTGTCTGTGCCCATCTGTGTCCCTTCCCATTGGCGTGCCTCTGGTCAGTGACACCCATGGGCCTCCTTCTTGTTCATGTTAAAAGAAGGTCAGCCCTGCCTGCAGAAATCATAAATGAGCAGATGAAGTATTCACTGTATAACAGGCTAAGGCTTTCAAGTACACATGAATTGCCTGTATCTTTTTCATTGCAGCCGAATTAAGGTAGGACCCAGATTTTCTGTTTTTGACAAGCGATCCGCTGCTGTTGAAACTGCTGGTCTACAGACCACACTTTGAAAAGCAAAGATCTAAATTGAAGATGTTGATACATCTTAGCCAGTCTTGGGGAAAACAGCAAATGTTTTTTCTTAAAAAGCTGAGGTGGAAAAACATGTGACCCTGAGAAAAACACTACTTTAAAAACAAGTTTATAGAAGAAACCCTGAAATGAAAATTAAGAGGTCTTTTGAACTTCATGTGTCACAAAGCCCACTTATACTTGTTTCCCAAGATCTGAGAGTAGCAAATGTCAAGCTAGTAATGCATATGATATTGTTTGGAAGAAAAACATTATAGAAATGCAAATCATAATCTATATTACTTTTTCTTATATTTTCTCTTTGTAGGAGATATCAGTGAATAAAAGGATCCAGAATGATTACTAACCTATGACTCCCAACAGTATGACAGGTATCTAATATATTTTCTTAATTTTCTTCATGTGTCTTCATTTTTGTTCCACCTAAAGTGAAGTATAGGGTTCTTAAAGAGTAAGCTGAGTCTAAGCAGCAGTTATTTCCACACCAAGTATTGTTAAGCCCTTGAATATAGCCCTACAAAATGTCCTTCATCTTCTTTAAGAGTTATGAGATACATCACCACCAGAGAAATAATGGAGAGGAAATGATAATTCTCAACAAAAGGATAGTTTTTATCCTTGTCATAAATGGCTCCCTGTCCTTAGTGACTAACCATGGAGTCGATGCGAAGTGGGCTGTTTCTTCCACTGAGCGGTAGAGTCAGAATGGAACATGATTAGTTCACCTATGGCACATATGAGCTATAAAACTCTTAGCAAAGATCAAAGGAGAGATAGAATGACTCATGGGAGAATAAAAATTTACAGCTGGACATGGTGACACAGGCTAGAATCCCAGCCTGGGGAGGCTGAGAGAGGAGGATCAAAAGTTTAGGGCCAGTGTGGGCTACATGGCAAGTTCAAGGCCGGCCCGCACTCCATGGTGACACACTGTCTCAAAAACAAAACAAGACAAAACAACAGAATATAAGGTTGTAATAGCACAAATGCTTAAAAGTAAAGCCCTTAGAGCAGGCGTGCACACTGCAAGGCCCTAGGGATCAAGCAGATGACACCAATGGATAAAATGTTTGTGTGTGGGTAAAAACCAACTGGAGAACTCAATTTCCCTCTAAAAAGAAACCATCCTCCACTCTAGGCAATCACAGACAGACACAGGCCATCTGTGCTCACATATTTTGAAATTTAGAGAAGTTATAAATCCAGATTTTAAGTGAAATACCTCAATTTTTCCATGTTTGCAGTTAATATGGGTGAAGAAAATGTGGTATTCATACACAATGAAATACTACTCTGCCATAAAGAAGCAAAATCTTGGGTCATCTGTAGAAAAATGGATGTATCCTGAGACCATAATGTCAAATGAAATAGATACACAGCTGATGAAAAAAAAAAGATAATAGGAAGTAGGAAAATGGATTGTGTTCAAATGGGAAAAGGGACCACAGGATGGAAAGATGGGGCAGAGAGGAGAGAAAAAGGAGGTGAAACAAAGACTCGAGATGTGTTTTGTACATGGCTCCCCACATGGAATGTAATCTTTAAGTAATGCAGATATATTAATGAAAATTTAAAACTGGAGAAAGAAAAAAGTATTTCAAGACTCATGAGCCTGTCTAATCTTGTTTGCTGCCTGGACTTAACCCAGCTGTCAGTTTATCACCCTGCTGTACATCTGCCACCCAAGCACCAAGCCCATGACCATCCTTTTTGTTACTATGGCAGCATGGCAGATACCCATAAACCCCTGCGTGTCATGGATGCACCCTGTCTTTTGATAATGTGTGTGTCATCTCACTCTCTGAGATGAGCCAAATGTGCAGGAGTTTATCTAAAAACCTGTTCTCTAGTAGATGAGAAAAACTAAAAGCAACTGAAAGTTGTCGCTCTGTCTTCTGAAAGTTTGGAAGATTCCCAATAGCCAGAATATTTCCTCTCCCAGCAGCATTGCCCTATTTCTCTACCCACACTTGAGCTCCTGATGTACCAAAAAGATAGAGTACCTTGGGAAAGCAGAATGATTCACATCTGTAAGAAATGAGGACCTCAGACTCACACCTCATCTTTTCCTCATTTTATTGCACGTTAGCAAATACCAAAACCTACCCACTCCTAGTTTTATTCCATTAACAAGGTCAACCCTTCCCCTCTTAAATCTTCTGTGTCATAAACCTGCTCACTCAGTGGAAAATTGATGTGGCTCAACCTTGGCAATAGTGTCCATGTTTATGCTGATAGTGAATGGGAATTCCTGTCCGACAGAGTGAGGGCTTCAGTTTGGGAAAACACTACCATGTGAGCAAGTAGTGATACTGCAAAACCAAGAGAAAGTGTTCTCCTCTTAGAAAAGGACAGGGTAAGATCAAGTACCACACCAGAGGGTCGAGGATATGGCTCAGCAGCACAGCGCCTGCCTGGCAAGTACAAGGTCCTGAGTTTGATTCCTGGTGCCAAAAAAGAAAGTACCACACCAGGGTCACTCTATACAGGTACTCTGCACCCATAAACACTCCCAAAGGTACAGATTTCAGAACATAACCTCCTGAAACACAGAAATGGCAAACTCTGGTATAAAACTGGGTAATAAAATGATTTGTGCTTGCTGGGGAGGGCTGTTCTAAATGTAGTACAGTACTGAGCATCCATCCTGGGTCCCTTCAGATCAGGGGTTGGCAATATTTTATTGATTGTGGAGGACCAGTGAATACCTCTTTCTGGCTTCATAACCCATAAGCTGTCTGTCACATCTGGCCAGTTCTGCTGTTGCAGCTTGAAAGTCCATAGGCTGTATGTAAACAAATGGGCTTGCTTATGTTTTAGTAAACATTTATTTACAAAACAGGCAGCAGACAAACCTGCAGATGGTCCTGGGACAGGGGCGGGGGGTGTCTTCTAGTTCCAGGCCATCCCAATATTGGGCAGAATCCCTGAAGCTGAATCAGCTCAAAGCAGAATGAGGCTCACTTCTGGACAGTGGTAGCCTAAGCCAGCTTTTGAGTCCAACTTGCAGAGATGGGTACTTTCCTTTCTGGCTGAGCTGGAAGCCTAGCTACCTTGTAATGGCGGAAGGAATACTTACTTCCAGCATTCTTTCATAGTGTAGAAATTAATCCTAGTCCTATGTTCAAAAGAAAGTTACTCCATATGTATATGTGCTCACCATATGTGAATAGGCTCAGAGAAGAAAATATTACTTTAGTTACCCTTGTTTGTACATGATGTAAAGCAGTATTACTTTCCTTCTCATTCACTGTGGGCTCAGGCTACATTTATTTTAAGAAACCTACAGAGACCGCAATAAAGTTATAAGCCATTGGAACTAAGTGCTTGCTCTAAGGCCATAATTTTAAAGCCAAATGTGCATAGTTTTTTTGTTTGAAAAGCTTAATAGATACAATTACTGTTGTGTAATACAGGAGATCAATTAACCATATATAAAGAAAAACCTTTTTAAATGAGCAAGAGTTAAGAACACTGAATCTGTTTCCCTAAAAACAAGCAAACCAGCAGTCTCAGATAAAGGACACACAGTTTTTGGGTATAGCTTTTTTGGCTGCAATGCTTATTAAATTTATGTATTTTGATTTATTCGAATGGAAAACTTTATTTTCTGGGGTTATTTAATATCACCTTGCCAGCATTCTCTCACTGCTTTACCCCATCTAATCTGAAATTAGGACTGTATGAAATTACTCATTGAAATATACTGATTCTTAAAGAGGACAAGAAGAAAATAATTATGATATTTTAATAGTGTGGAATTAAGCACCACTTCCTAGGTAATCTGAGGGGAATTCTGCTGCCATTTATGACATTATAATGAGCTGTATTTGGAAGAGCACCATGATTCACAGCACAAGGAAATTTATTGTAAGCTATGAATACCTAAAAATTTTAATAATAAAGTTAGAGGCTTTTGATCTTATTTGAAAAGGAAAACTAAGAACTCATAGTCCTTTAACAACAGCCAAGGAGGCAGAAGCAAGGATCTGTTATATCCACATGGAACCTAGCTTTATAAAATTAGGGTATGGCATAACGTTGGTCAAATACTTATTGTGTTCATTGAAACTAGGCCCCCAGTCATTTAGAGCCGCACTGTCAGGAACCTTTAATGTAAATAATACACCCCTCATTCAGTGATCTGACTTGCATTTCTCCCTCACAACCTGCTTGTTCATTTAACTTCCTTCCTGCAGTACTTTTCTTCTCTCTTTATCTAAGCATTATCATTGCAAGAACCAGGCAGGGCTGTTTGCAGGGATTCTCAGAGATTTCAGCTATTGCCTCAGTGTTTTCCACTGTATGATCTTTGAACTGTTTTGTGTTTGCTTACTTTGTTAGGGAGTCATTTGTTATGCAAAATTAAGAATGTCATAGGTTTATTTACACTTTTATTACTTCTGAGTGTTTTGTACGTGTTCAGTGGCCATTCTGATTTTATCTGTAACTTGCTGTTCATATTTATTTTCCATTTGCCCTTTAGATCTTTGTCTATTTTTCATTATTTACAGAAATTTTTATGTATTAATAATATTAACCAAGGAGTCAGTCTCTCTAAATTTCCTGTTCCTTATGAATTAAATAAGAAAACAACACTAGTCCGTCTCTTCATTCACTTTCAAGATTATAAATCACATTTTCATAAAGTGAGACATATTTACATGGATGGTTGAGTATAAAGAAAAAGGAGCCCTGAAGCAAAGTATTTTATGATTTGAGACTCTCCCGCTGAACACATTTTCACAATCAAAATGCTGAAGTTGGAAAAACTCAGTATTTTACCTTAAAGCCCATGTGCTTTTCCAGGATGGATCTTGAAGTGTTCCTTAGGCTTTTCAGCTGCTCCTGAGAAGCTATTTCATTCCTTCAGAAATACATCCACAGTGGTACTTGTGTCCTAAACCTCCTCCATATAATATATGTTCACAGTACGAGCAAAATAATGATACCCCTGAAAAATACCTGTATTTGTCACTTAGCTGTCACCGGAACAAAATACCTGACATCACAACTTACAGGCTCATGGTTTTGGAGGATTCGGTCTGTGGGTGGCAGTCTTTAGGGCAGAAGGGACAGGCAGGCAGGCATGGTGGAGGAAAAGTGCTCACCACATAGCAACCCAAAAGCACTGAGAGGAAGATGGGGGATACCCTTCCAGGTCATTCCCCTAGTTACCCACCTCCAACCAGGCCTCACCTCCTAACAGCATATTAAGTTACTGAACTCACTAATGGATGAATCCACTGATGAATATAACATCCCCATTACCCAATCCCTTTCCAAACACATGAGACTTCTGGGGGGTGTTGCAGATCTAAACTGTAACAATAATGTTAGCAGTGTACACATTGTTAATGTTGTTCATTAT